GGTAAATAGTTACATAATTAAGATATATTTGCCGATGCAGACTCTTTAAATCCAGAGAAGGAAGAGCATGCAAAAGATATGAAAAACGAGAGAAAGTATGATATATTCAAAGGCATTTATAATCCTATGCTTTTGATATCAAAGAAGAAAAAATCAAAGGTCTTAATATTTCCCACTTTTGAGTTTTATGTCATGTTTTATGTTAAAATGACTTGGAAGCTCCATATTGTACAATATTGTCACAGTTAGTTTAAATAGATAGATGTGTATATTTTTTAGCTAATTTATTTTGATATTGCAGAATAACATTTATTTTAAAATGCATACATGCTCATACACCACAAACTACTAGACACCTTTGTAACTACACATGTAATGTGTAGTACAATTTTCACCTATTAGTGCAATTGGCTCATGCACTTATCTTTACAGTACAATTCAATTCTTGCATCTCCAAATTTTGACACATTGGTGCACACCTTATACATGAATATGTTAGTTATAGGGATATACAGTTCATGAACAACTTGACATACATGTGAAAAACAAATATGCAGTAACACTGCATGCATGTTATAGTGTTAAAGTGTATTTTGGGTATGGTTTATCAACTGCATTGCTACTTCAGTCAGTTTGGCTTGCAGAAGGAATCTTAGTTACAAGGTAAAGTATTATATTTTGATATGGAAAGATTTTTTCATTTTTGGTGCAGAGCTCCACATGAAGAGGAGTTTCAGTGGCTCTGCACAGTTAGATCCAAATTGCTTATCAAAGTCAGTGTAAAGACATGGAGCTGACCATTATGTTGTTTTAGTTGAAAAGAAAGGATAATTCAGACTCAACTGGATAATTGATAGCATGGTCTTCATTTTCTTAACAATTTGAAAATTAATACATGAATTTGACTTAGGTATACTGAACACATTTAGTACATAGTGGGGTTTGAAACCTTCATCTTGACAGCAAAAGTTTATTAACCGCATCATGACGGGCCCAGAATTTTCAGTGATGTAATCATTACACACTGATAAAACCTTGCTGGATTTGTGCTTGCTTGGTGGAGCAAAGCATGATGCCTCAATGACGTATTACCCAAATACATCATAACATGTCACTGGAGGGTTAATGAAGAACTACAGGAACATGGCTTAAAGTTGTTGTACTTGATATTCATTGGCATGTACTAAAATTATGTATCAGATTTGATAATCGTTTATTCTTTGGTGGAGGATGGTAAACAAGTTCCTTAAGCATTTAGTTATTATTTACCAACTTCACCAAATACATTAGTTGAAATCTATGGAATTCAGTGCCCAATAGAGAAAATACTTTTGATAGAAACATCTGATATGCAGTGCATATAAAATTAGTAGTCTGGCTAATAAATTTGACAAAATCGGGATTTGGACAGTGCCCCTGCTAATATTAGGCACAGGATGATAAATGAATAATGATTGAAAGTTAGGATATATAGCGATTTAAGTTATCTTGCAAAGTTGACTGTGGAGGCTATCCTAATTTGATTACTAAATAGATAATTTCTCCAAATATATGGGCTGGGATATTATATTACAACCTTAGCTTCATTAAGATTTTATTTTACAGGTGCATGGGCTATTATGGTATGTTGATTTTGTGCGGTTTTATATTTTGACATTTGTTGTGACCTTTGATTACTGATGTTGATATGAATAACTTAGGAGAGTATGGAAAAATTTTCTTTTATTTATTTATTTTTATTAGGAAACATGGCAAGGTGTTTGTATAATTATAAGGGTGTATTATCTTCAGGACAGAGTATTAAAAATACAATCAAAATTAATGTAAGTAATTCTATTGGATAAATTGGTAAGGAGAATTAGAAGTATTTGATGATATTCTCTGCTGGCAGGATATGTAAACCCAGGGAATTTAGAAAGCAGTAAATAGGTCTGTCCCCTTTATGATTAAGGCCTTTATTTTAGCATGGCACCATCTTGTATAAAAGAAATAGTTTACAGGAAGTCTCCTTTTAAGTTAACAGACTTCACTCAAGATAAAACCCAGTCTATTTATTTTGCACATTTATGATTAGCAAGTGGAAATGTTACTTTGTTTCAACCAGAGCCATTAACTAACACATTCAATGTTTCTCCCTCACTCACACTTTAAGGTCTTTAAGCTATCTTAACTCAGGGAGACTTCTTGGTTTAAATGCTTAGCAACCCACAGGATATAATGGATTATATTACCCAAGTGTGTAGTGTGGAATGAGAAATATTCCACATCAGGGAATGCTCAATTAGTAAATACTAATCCTTTAGTCATGGGACACTCCCATTTAGGTACTTCATCATGTAAGTGACATTCCCAGTTGTTCATTGTTTTTCTTTTTTTTACCAACAGACATTTATATGCTCACAAGTATTCCAAAGTGCCCTATGCATCCTTCAGTCATTTTTTTTTACATTGATAAATATTTTAAATGTACAAAAATGTAATATAAATATTAAGTGCCTTTCTTATGCGTATGATTACCCTTGCAATAAAAACAGCATTTCAGTTCCAATTTGTTCAAAATGCTTTAAAGGCAAGAAATAATTCATATGATCCTTAATTTAATGGACAAGGGAGGTTGCCTATAGAAAACTGGTGACATGGAAATGCCTCAAACCATGTTGATTGGACTACAGGCCTGTCCACACAGGTGGACAAACTACTTGGGAAAAAAAGAAGTTTCCTCTGTTCTCACCTGTGACATCACCTATACAGTTGCCTATGTGCCTACCACACTTGCCTGCCTGTGTGAACAGGCCTTAATATATGTCAAAGTCTCCTAAAGTAGCAGAGTCCAAATAAGATGCTAGACATCAAAGGCCGTATAACACTATAGAAAGGTGTTGTAGTATTGTAAAAGGTAAAAACTACTGATGACAATTTTTAAATTCAAAAGTAAACAGTTTAGAATGGTATGGTATTGAAAGGGTTAAAGAGGGGTGAGTAAATGGTTTAAGCTAGGGATTAGCGAAAAGGTAATTAGATCAAAGTTGTCCAAGGAAAATGTGGGGTTTCTGTAAGGATGTCCATGGGGTAAGGGAAGGATTAGCAGTTTTCCTGTGTTCCTATTCCTTCCCTAGTCACAGATACACTCCATATCATCCACTTGCCCTATGCCCTTAATCCTTTCCTCTTTTACTTTCTCCTTCCTCAGATGCATAATTATCCTTCACTTGATCTAACTCCCTTACTTAAATCACCATAACCCTTTCCCTCATCAACCCTTATCCAACTTCAACCTTTCAGCATTACTTTAGATAGTTGACGCATAGCACCTATCACCTGACACCCCCCTTTACTATACCTTCCTATAGTGCTATATGATCTTAGATGTCTAGCACATTTATTTAGCTTTTAACCATTAACCATTCCTCTTTTACTAATCTTCGCTTTACTTCACCTCTGCTTTCCCACTTATCCTCCCTTCACCGACTTCCCAACATAGCAGACATCCTTACAGAATCCCACAGATGCCTTGACAGCCTGTTCTCCTTCCTCAGACACATAAATATCCTTCACTTGATCTGATTTCCCTACCTAAACCACCATAACCCATTCCCTCATCTTACACATTAACCTCTCAACATTACTCCAGATAGTTCACACATAACAACTACCACTTGCCATCATCCTTTACTATACCTTCATATAGTGCTACATGGCTTTGGAAGTCTATCACATTTATTTCGCTTTTAACCATTAACCATTCGCTTTACTTCACTTGCTTCCTTCCTTTACCCTGTACACGACAATACTATCCTACAACGCTCCATAACCTTTGATATTTATTTTTTTTCCCTAATTGTTATCTCATTTTTACCCTTTTTGACTCAATACTTTACAACTATATGGCCTTTGATGTCTAGCACATTCACTTGTTTTAACCTTACCCTCCCCCCAATCCCTTGCCCGTTGTTGTTGTGGGGGGGGGGGTTAGGAGACGGAGACTGAGACCCAGTGTAGGGATCTCCCCTGCCTAAGGCCTTAGCCCTCGACTCAACTAATTTTGCTTGGTCTTTTCTCCCTCCGCCTCTTTCGTTTCCGTCACTTCTCCAACCCCTTCTACTATCTACTTCCTAAGGTGTAAGAGCCATGCTGAAAAGATGAAAGACTAGCTTTGTGCCAGTCCTGAACGGCCAGAGGTAACCATGGACACGGTATTCCCCTGTGTTGTTGTTTAGCCCTTACCCCTCAAGGGGACCCTGAGGGGTGGACTGTTTATTTCCCCTACATAACCAAGGCTATGGCCAGTAATGAAGAAGTAATACCCATATTTGAGGCATATTTTATCAAATAGCCCCACCGATTCAAACTCTCCCGACTCCCTGACCCCAGGCTCTCCTTTGACCACGAATCTGAACACTACAACTACTACCCACTCCTCAATGCCTGCTAGTGCATTATCCACCCAAGTCAAGAGTCCTACGCTCCCAACTTCTTCAATTTCATCAACTCTACCGCCACAGGTTTCTTCACCAATCACCTCATCTTCCCTTATTACTACCCTACAACCTTATTCTCCATCTCTCCGTAATACTACCCCCTCTACAAAACTCCCTCTTCCACACGTTCCCGTCCTTCTACCACTCAACTCTACCACTATGTTACTATGTTACTCTATTTAGGCCAGCCAAATGGGACCGATTTTTCGTGATCCCCCCTACAGCTCCTTACTCAGGCAATACCCTTCTCTTTCAACAATGTCTCCAAGAGCAAGTGGGCAGCGTCCCCTTCCGTACCCGATCCGATCGTTCCCGTCTCGTTACAGTCACCTCTGAAACTGAAGCTATAGCATTATCAAATCCAACTGATCTCTCTGGCAATCCCATTCCTGCAGAACCTCATCCAACTCTTAATACTTGTACCGGAACTGCCTCTATCTCCCTAGCAGACCACAGTCGATACCAAAAATTGGTCAGACTGTGGAGAAGACTTACTCGAATGCCTCAAAGACCAAGACGTGAAGTCAGTACATTGCTACACCATTCCTCCTAGAGGCCATCGAAAGAAATCCAACCAACGTTGCCAAAATTACTTTCATGCTACATTCGGAACTGCTCATCTATCTCGTCTAGACCAGTTGGACGAGATGTTTTGACCATTCGGAACCTCCACTATCTCGCCCCGAACAAGTAGTCTAGCTCGTCCAACTCGCCCTCCTGCGAAGGTGGGCGAGCAGGACGAGATGACGTCACAATAGATTTTGTATGTAAACATTGACAGTTGCAATTAACCACAAGATATTGGTGGGTAATTTTTACCCTTTATTGGTGTTATCAAAGGATATTTTTGTGTTTGTCAGTTGCAGGTAAGTTAAAAATGCATCAAAGGAGTTACAGAACCTATGCAGCGTGTAAGATAAAGACACCGGTATGATTAAAAAAGTGAATGTTTACATTCGGCCGGTTGCATTCTGGGCAGAAAGGGTCTTGGCCCACTTGTCCTGCTGGTCATGGACAAGATGTCTGGACGAGCAAGACGAGCAGTTCCGAATGCAGCATCAGTACACATGACCTTCCCTTTCGTATCTACATTGGTGGACAATCCCTCCATGTTCAACCATACCAACCTCTTCCCCGTCAATGTCAAAACTGTTGGCGCTTTGGACATCCTGTCAAACACTGCCGCTCCACAGACCGATGCCCTACATGTGCCCAACCCGGTCATAACCGATTAAACTGTCCTGCTATGCTAACTGCGGCGGCCCCCATTATGTATTTTATAGAGGCTGTCCCACTTACAAGTTTGAGTCTGAGGTAGCAACTCTCAGACACAAAGATGGTCTCACTCTACGTGCAGCCAGGCAGGAAGCACGCCGACAAGGTTTCTCTATTCTCCCAACTCTAGTAATGTGGCTCGCTTTGCTCCTCTGCTTCCACTTCTACATTCTACCTCCCCCAGTCAAATTCTTTTGCTACTCTAAATCCAGACACTCCAATCTCAACTACAGCCCCAACACTGCCCCCTCTCCCTCCCCGCAGCAAACAGACTAAACGTCTTCTCTTCCCCCCTTCATAAGAAAACCTTTGTCTCACAAAACTCTCCAATCAACTCCACTGCAGAAACTATGGAAGATATTCAAAGCTATAAGCTTGAGACACAAAATTCTACAACTCATGCTCCCTCCACACTCGAAGTGACTGCGATATCCATCCCCCCCTGCTCATTCCCCTACACCCCTCCCTCCTACTCCCTTCCGACACAACTTGACCCCCTCAATTCCGCCTACTACCGATATTCATCCTCCTGATACTACCGATATCAATCCTCCTCCTCATATTCCCACTACACCCCTTGCTCCTACTCCCTCCCAACACTACCCATCCCCTTCAACTGCCGACATCCATCCTTCCAACACCCATCCTCCTCCTACTCATATCCCCCCTAAACCACTTCCTCCTACTCCCTCTCAACACAACCCATCCCCCTCAACTCTAAATACGTACATTCTCCCTCCCTAAACCCACCATAGCCCATTCACACATCAGCTTCCTTACCCATTTTTAACCTTTCAAGATCACTCTAGATAGTTGACGCATAGTAACTATCACCCTTCACCCCTCCTTTAATATACTTTCCTATAGTTCTATATGACCTTAGATGTTTAGCACATTTATTTTGTTTTATTTAACCATTAACCAATATTAACAAAAGGGGAAATTTGGGTGTCTGTCTTGGGCAACTAGATCAAAGAGCAGTTTCAGGAGAAATGGAGGGGAAGGATCCAGGGAAGGTTATTGTGGGAAGAGAGTCCAGTGTATCCATGAGGGAGTGGCAGTGATTACAGGGAAGGAGATGCAGATGAAGCAGGGGGATGGGTGTTGGGAGGGAGTGGGAGGGTGTATGGGGAACATGAGTAGTAGGAGCATGGATGTTGGCAGTCACTTTGAGTGTAGAAGGAATGGGGGCTGGAAGTTTGGAGGATAGATAGGGTATAGGTATGTTATCCTGAGTCGTCATTACAAGTAGGCATGAATAAAGATGACAAACTACTTGATAAAGAAGTAGTTTCCTCATTGTTTTCTCACCTGTTACATTTCCTTTACAATTGTCCGCCAGTGTGTCTATTGATTATGTCGCCTTTGTGCAGGGCTGGAATCTACAGAAATTCATCTGCTTACCGGAAATAAAGACAGGTGACAGATAGTGACATCACTGTGGATTTTTTTTTTTTTTTTTTTTGTAGGCTGTATTTTTGTTATTTTGTATGACTGCAGATGGATTGATGCAAAGGGAAAGTGTTTAAAGCAATAATGGGGTATTTTCCCATGTTCAAGTAAATTAAACATGAAAATTTCTTAAACCATCCTGGTATGAACTGACATGGTGTGGCAAAAAGAGTCTTCATGGCGGAAATTTCATCCGATGTCACTTCAGCTCGGTCTTCCAGATGGGCTTCATCAAAGGCAGAGCCACAGTCCTATATCTAAAGTGACTTTAAACCTTCAGCATTACAACACACAC